TCACAAAACAATCAGCACACACCCCGCTTCTGAGTCCATAAAATGCCCTGGACCCAGCCACATGTGGAACTTTCTTACCTTTGGATTGGGGTACTACCCCCATGTCCCCTCTCAGCTGAAAACTGTTTTATCACTCAATAAAATTCTTTACCACCCTCCTCAACCTTCAATGTCCAGCCTTCAATATCCTCATTCTTCTTGGATGTGATACAAGAACTCCAGAACCACCGAACGCAGGTACAAGTTGTAACACAGGTGAGCTGGGGCATGCCAGCATAGCCAAGCAGGGCTCATGTGGGGCATCGCCAGCCAGAAGTCCCCGGCTTGCAAAGTGACCAAGAAGAAAAATCCTACATCAAAAGCAGTGGCAGCTGCAGAATGTTAAAAGGTGCATGTCAAAACAAGTTTAGATGAGCATTTCTTCATTTTTCTTACCATATCAGGCCCACAGGAGAAGTCAAAAAACAACAAAAGAAAATAATCTATATGTATTGTGAGGGAAAGACATTTCTCAAAAGTCAGAAGCATAGTGCTCTGAAGGCTCACCCCAAGACTTGAGGCAACAGAGCCGCCTGCTTTTAATGACATATTTGCACCTGGTTCTTTGTGGCTATGACCCATAACCGCCATTCCACCTTCCCCAGCCCTGCCCTGAGTCCAGTTTCTGCAAATAAAGCACCCCAAAAGCCACGGCCTCTTCTAATGAGACTTCCTTCATAAAAAATGCAACTGTGAGTCAAGACATAAACTCCCTCCAAGTTAGGTTAATTGTAAGCCCACATAGTAGACACAGGATGTTGTTTATCCTCAGTAGAAGGATGTCTTAACTAAATTCCACCCCTCTGGTCACCACAAATTTTGAGCATCTGAAACTATTTGATCAAACAACTCTTCTCCATGAAAGAGATTTCTGCTCTTCTTCCCTGAAAGTTATTTGTCCTCACCTGGGCCCTGTGAGCAATTTCCATCCTTTTGCCCCTACCCCCACCCCTATCGAAGACCACCTTCCCGCTAGAAATGGAGCTCCAATCAACAGCGTTTGCATCCCTAGTGCTGAGAATGTTGACAGGGCTCAGCCAGTGGCTGGTCGGGTGGCTGATCCTTAGAGCATAAATCACTTCTACGGAATGAAAACCCTTTTCTTCTTTCTGAAGTCATTTTCATTCTTGCCACCAACCCTCCTAATTCTGGTCTTTACTAGTCTCTATGCAGAATCATCAGGTGTGGGCTATATAGAAAATCACTCCTTGCTAACCCACCATTGCTATCAGACACAGAGTAAGTGCAGGGGGACCAGAAGGGGGAGTGACAAATTTCTCTTCTAACAGTTATTATCCAACAACAAGGAAGTGAATACTCTGAAGCCAACATAAATAAATGAATAAATACATAAATAAGTAACAAGTACCATGCTTAGCTTAGTAAAATTAAGCCCTTTATGACAAAAATCCTTTACCAGAAAGCCTTGCATAATATATTTGTGTTTCCCTTTGCTCTTCTTCTCATTTTATTAATATAAATGACCAAAGGCAGCAGAGAGGAGATATCATTCACTGTACTAAAGTAGGAATCTAGTGAGAAATTCATTTCCAAAAGCTCTTAACTTATATCCAGAACATATTCACAGGCCAGGCCTGATGGCTCATGCCTCTAATCCCAGCACCTTAGGGAGTTGAGAAGGGAGGATCCCTTGAGGCCAGGAATTTGAGACCAGCCTGGGCTACATTAGAGAGACACCATCTCTACAAAAAAAATTTTAAAAATTAGCTGAGCATGGTGGCATGTGCCTGTAATCTCAGCTACTTAGGAGGCTGAGGTGGGAGGATCGTTTGAGCCCAGGAGTTCAAGGCTACAGTGAGCTGTGATTGTGCCACTGCACTCCAGCCCAGGCAACAAAGCAAGACCCTGTCTCTTAAAAAAATTATATTTGATTATCTGATAAGGATGACTCAATAATTGTACTCAAGCAGTAGGGCTAACTTGTGAGGGATGGGATCAATGTCGCCAAGGTCTTCTCCCTTCTCACAGTCTTTTAGGGAGTTACTATTTAACATTTCTTGTGGAAATGCAGTTATAACTGAGGAATACATAGGTGCTCTGTAAATGGAATGTTACCAGGTCAACCATAAGAACTCCCATCTCTGAGAAAATAAAATCCTCTGTGCCCTCATTGTGTCACTGTTATTGGCTGAAACAATAAAAGTAAAATACTAATCGTGGCTGTGTGGACAGTGATTAAAAAAAGGCTCATCAGTGAAACAAATATGTGATTGAATGTTGGCTCCACTTATCAGAGCCTCAGTTTTCTTAGCTGGAAACTGGGATAATACATTATTTTCCTCAAAGGGTCACTGTGATGATAAAAGAACACATTGTGGCCCAGCGTGGTGGTGCACATCTGCAATGGCAGCTACTCAGGAGGCTGAGGCAGGAGGATCACTTGAGCCCAGGGGTTCGAGACCAACCTGGGAAACATAGCAAGAGCCTGTCTCTTGAAACAAAAAACATACACATAGACACAACGATGGGAAAAACAAACACTGGGGATTCTAAAAAGAGGTAGGAAAAGAGAGGGGCAAGGGTTGAAAAACTACCTATCGGGTATTATGTTCACTGTGTGGGTGATGGGATCAATAGAAGCCCAAACCTCACATTGTACAATATACCCATGTAACAAATCTGCACACATACCCTGTGAATCTAAAATAGAAAATAAAATAATAAAGGTTTTTCAAATAATAACAATAAATATTGTAAATAATAAAGAATACACTGTACACCTAGCACAATTCCTGACACCTAGTGAGTATTTATACATGATTTACTACTTTTGCAGTTTTACAAAGAACTTGCACTTGCACTGTTCTAGTTGGGAGACAAATGAGGAAATTATTTTACAAATTAAAATAAAAATGAGATCAGATAGAAGAGCTGACCTACATTTGATCGCACAGGTATCACATGAAACAGGTGAGGTAGACATTATATTTTTGCAATTTGACAAATGAGAAACCAAGTTAGGAAGGGAGGTTTGCTAAGGGAGACACAGCTGGTTAGGGAGCAGCGCAGCACCTTCAGCCAGGCCTGCAGGCTCTTAATCTCATTCTCCTTCCACTAAACCAGCCAACACCTCTGAAAGAAGAAACAAACTCTTCGTTAAACCACATGGAATCAAATATTTTCATTAGTTACCCATGCTCTAAAAATGTTAAAAAATTAACTGTTTTCAATCTGCAAAAGGGTGCTTCCAGCAAATCATTTCAAGGGCAGCCAACCTTCCACAACTTTTTAAAGGACAATTTATAAACAAAGGCAAGGAAAGATAAGCTATCTCATAAAAATGTGTTATGCAAGGTTTCACCTAATCTCTGGCTATCACTTTGCAGACCCTGAAGTTGTGTTGGAGGCGTGGGAGAGGTGTGCACAGACGGTGGCGTGCATTCAGGTGGCCACTTGCTCAGAAGCCACCTGGGTTGGAGGTGCAGCCTGTCCCCAGGCAGGACCCCTGGGGACAGACTACCCACTCAGGCGCCCCCGATAACCATTATCGGAGGTGCGTGATTCAGTGGTCGGTTTTCACTCTGGCTATCAATTTGACTCAGACTGATTCTTTTCCAATACGTGCCTTTAAATATTCTTCCCTGTTTCTACCCTCTTTCTGTCTTTTATTTTCCTTCCTAGATGAAAAAAATCAGAATTATTTGTAAACACAATGAAGGGAGATACAAGTCACTTTAAGAAAAATAATTATTATCTCTCTTAGGGAAAAATGCACAACAGTATAGAATCTCTCAAAATCATTTTTCCATGCTGGTACTAATCATTATTCTCTTCATATTCCCTTGTCTCCTGTTGCAGCCTGTGGTGGTGTGTTCTGTTTCTTTTCATCAAGAGTCCTGCCTATTCGTACTCAGACTACCCAAACAATATGCACTGTCTGTATACCATCACCATTAGTGACGACAAAGTTATCAAGCTCAAGTACGTAAGACAAATTGGCTTTCTTAAGAAAATCCTCTCAGCATTATTTACAGAAGAGCCATTCCTTTATTGTTGGAGAGCACTGATTCTCATTGGCAGTCTGGACGGAAATCTACACAGAGGAGTGAGGTTCCTAGATGATAGTTCAGCCTGGGAAATGACACTCCCCCTCTCCACACAAGCCTGTAGTAACTAAGGGTGAAAAACAAGCACTCACCAGTTAAAACAGTCATTGTAGTTTCCCAGCACTTGTGAAGGAGCATCATAGAATGGATTGTCAAGGTATAAACCCCTCTTGAAATCAAAGCAGAGGGGAAGGGCAAGAGAAAGCGGTTGCCATTTGTTGAATATTTATCATACACAAAGAACTTTGATTCACACTTGCAATAATTGTCTCATTTTATTCTTAAAACAGTCATATGAGGTGTATATATAGATTATAGATTGGGAATTGTATAGATTATTCTGATTTCACTGATGAGGAAACTGAGGCTCAGAAGGGTCCAATTGCTTTCCGAAAGTAACACACACATAAAGAGTCAAAATCTGAATTCATGCCAGGCTTCCTCCGAACACCAGGTCCTCAGTGTTTACCGAAACTGTCCTCAAATGACACATTTTCTTCTTTTTTATTATTTATTTATTTATTTATTTTGAGACAAAGTCTCACTTTGTGACCCAGGCTGGAGTGCATGTTAGTTAGGCTAACATGTCAAGTGATCCTGACCTCAAGTGATCCGCCCGCCTCAGCCTCCCAAAGTGCTAGGATTATAAGTGTGAGCCACCACGCCAGGCCTCCAAGGATACATTTTCTAACTACTTAAGAAATCTATTTTTATTCCTGTATCAGACCACCTCTAAACTGATGCTATAAGAGATGGCTTGCGTCCTTGGTCAATTTTCTCCCCAGTCTTACCTATTCCCAACAAGACTAATGAGGGCAATGCAACCTCCCATTCTCCAGAATGATAAGGTTCAAGACTGTTTTCACCTAACAGCCTGTTTCAGTGGTGTACGGCATGTGGTGGGAAACTCTGAAAGGTAATATAGTTCATGGCCATATAGGACTTTGCATATAGAAGCCTGATGGGCTAAGACCACACCTACCTACCTCCCCTCTATTTGTCTGTTATCATTTTCTGCCCTAAAGATCCTGTACTCCCTGCAGTTTACTTCCAAAGACCTCATGTATCAGTTGGCTCTCAAACTGAAAGACATCTCTCATCAAGCCTGATTTGGTTCCTGTATCAGGCAGTAAGTGTTCTATAGGCTGGACCTCAAAGAAAACTGCAGCTCCCACCTGGACTATTTGTAGGAAAACAGAGCGTCCTTTAGGTCTTGGCGACAAAAGAACAAAAACTGTCAGATGGCCAGGAGCAGGAGGCCTGTGAAGTATGCCTGCCCAGGCGTGGAAGCGTAACGGTGAGCTGTTTGCTGCTGTGACTCACTATCCATTTCTTATATGTGTAGGATTATTGCCTTGTTCTGTTCAGATTGCTTTAACAAAATACCATAAACTGGTCTAGAATTTTTATGATTTCAAGTCTCATATTTAAGTCTTTAGTCCATCTTGAGTTAATTTTTGTATATGGTGAGATATAGGAATCATATTTCATTCTTCTACATGTTCCCCTGGGTAATATAAGCCAAACACAAATCCCGCAGCTACTAGTCTATGTGGCTCTCTCCTGCAAGAACCACCTCCTAGCTGGAAGCCAATAGGCACAGCCTATTACAACATCTGCTGGCAAAATAACACAACATTTGGGAAGGAGAAAACTTTTGTCTTATCTCAGCTAACACCATACCCATATCACCCCAGCTAATTAGAAGGTGTTGAGTGTGTTCACAAACCCAGTACATTGCTAGTACAGTTGGCATTTGAGGAAATCACCGCACTAAGCCTATTTACAACCGAGTAAATCTTACAGAGTCTATATCACTCTCTTGCCACCCCCATCAGAGATTGTGCTTGCATTTGCTGCTGGGAGACCAGAGGACAGTTAGGCCCACTCAACATTGCCCTCCTTTGTAGCAAAGAGTGGAACCCAAACACTGTACATCCCTCAGACCTTCCCACAGCCCGAGGCATCAGAGATTTCCAGTTGGCTGACAAAGATGTCAATCATCAATAATCCTCAGAAGGAAGAGCCAATATTACAGGTGAATAATCATAGGCCAAATGGACTGTTAAAGAGAGAGCAATGGAGCTTATTGGTCAATTCATAAGAAGAATCTACAACTCACAAACACGCACACACACACATACACACACACACACACACAAATAAAGTAAAAAGAAGCTGGCAGGGGTAAAACCCTGAGAGACTTAGTAATCCATGGAAAGGACACGTAGGAGTGTTCTTAGCCTCTCTACCCAATTTGGCAGGCTACTGGGATCTGAAGCCAAGGTGACCTTCTTTACCTTCATGAGCACAAGTACTGGAGTGGGCTGTGGTTTTGAGACTTCTCAAGAACATTACCTTGTTCACACAAGTTCCCTTTCCTTTTCCTTTGGATCTGAGCTCTTTTTAACTGTTTTAGTAGAATTCACTAGTGAAGTAGTCTTGAGCTGGAACTTTGTTTTTGGTGGGGGGTAGTTCTTGATTACTAATTCAAATACTTTACTTATTGTAGGTGTATTCACACTTTCAGTCTATGAGAACTTTATTCGATTAGTCCCTTAGCCTTGGCATTTGCATTACCCCTACTCTTCTTTATCCAATATAGGCAGTTAATGCCTCACGTTTTTGTATTAATAATTGCCATTCCTCTTCACTTTGTATTTTCCTATTTATTCCTGAACTTATTCCTTAGAATAAGTTGCCTGTTGCCTCCCATCTGGATTACAAGTTTGTTAGACCTGTCTTGTCTTTGTGAACTCATTATCCTTCACTATATTTCATTCTTGGTTTTGTTGACATATTTGTTTTACACATTTCAGCTTTGTAATGAATACAAAGCTTTGTAATGAATAGGTGATACTGAGTCTTTGTAAATTTTCGACAGAAGAAAATTGCAAACTCTTGATTCAAGAGTGTAATACTTTTCATGATATGGCCCTAATTTACCTATATTTACAAACTAAAACTGTGTTCACTTACAAATAATAAAAAAATCATAAAAATGAATGTGTTAGGCTGTTATTGAATTGCTACAAAGAAATATCTGAGGTCAGACAACTTGTAAGAAAATGAGGCCCAATTGGCTCACAGTTTTACAGGCTGTACAAGCATGATGCTGGCATCTGCTCAGCTTCTGCAGAGTCCTCAGGGAGTATTTGCTCATAGCAGAAGGCAAAGCAGGAACAGACACATCATATGGCAAAAGGAGAAGCAAGTTGGAGAAACAGTTTTAATCAACCAGATCTTATGTGAACTCACTTATTATCAGGATAGCATCAAGGGAAATAGCGTTCATGAGAAACCTACCCCCATGATCCAATCACCTCTCACCAGCTCCCACCTACAACACTGGGGATTAAGTTTCAACAAAAGATTTGAGAGAGATAAATATTTATTATCCAAACTATATCAAGAGCTTAATCAAATAGTTGGCTTATATATCTCAAATACAATAAGTCTTATGGTGGGCTAGAATAGAAATAATATGGTAGCCCTTAAGCATGAGAAAGTCAAGTGCCTTCTTTCTTTTTGTTTACCATGTTTAGTATAGAAGTCTTCATTACTATGATCAAATGCTCATGTCAAAGATGATGTCAATCCTACCTCCCCTTTCACATTCATGTTTTGAATAATAAGGAGAAAATAGAAGATTCATGTTCTGGTTTGAATGAATCCTCTACAGTTCATGTGCTAAAAGTGAATGCCCAATGCAATAGTGTTGGTGGGTGCAGCCTAACAAAACATGAGTACGTCATCAGTGTTCTGCCCTTGTAAATATACTCATGTTGTTATTGCAAGAGTGGGGTAGTTCTTGACAGCTTGTTATAAATATGAGTGTGCCCCCACCCCTTGCTCTTACTCTTACCCTTTCTTGCCCTTCTACTTTTTGCCATGTGATGAAGTAGCAAGAAGGCCATTGCCAGAAGCCACTGCCATGCTCTTGGACTTCCCAGCCTTCAGAATCATCAGAAATAAATTTCTTTTCTTTATAAATTACCAAGTCTATAGTATTATGTTATATAGCACAAATTGAACTAAGACAGGGCATCAGTATACTTCTGCTTTTATTTCTGGGGAAAGAAATACTCTGTGTGACTAACCTAAGCAGCAAATGATTTCATGAATGGAACTTGTACGTCTGTCAGGAAATAAAGTTTGAGTTAACTGATCTGCAGTTTCTGCCATACCATACAATTGCTTTTTCTAATACCGTACTGTCCAGTATCTCTTTTGGCTAACTTTATAACATAGTATGTTTTTTAAAATTTAGTGTATTTAGATATACTGGCACATAATTTGTCAGATAATTGCATGAAATCATTTCTAGGAAAAGGACAACCAACAGTCAGAATTCACTATTGAAAACTTGGTTGGCACTGTAGCTGATCAATTTATTGCTGGAACAGAGACAACAAGCACCACTCTGAGATATGGACTCCTGCTCCTGCTGAAGCACCCAGAGGTCACAGGTAGGACCACAGATGATGAACAAAGTGAATTTTAGAACAATGCTGAGAAGATGGTGCCAGTGTCCTCCACCTTGTTTCTCTCTGAGAAGCTTCATTCTTTAAATTTCTGTGTCATCAGCTGGTATCTGTCTAAATTTCATGACATGATTAAAAAGAACATCTTTGCACAATGGAGGAGGATGACTGAGATCAGTAAAAGCAATATGGCAGTAGCAAAATAAATAAAGCCCTGATGAAGTATCTAGATTTCAGCAGAGGTAATTTGTGGTAGGGAGAACCAGTATAAGTTGGTCTAGCAGTGAATGTTGGTTTTATTATGAAAAGTCCACTTTGAACAGTAGGTTCATTCTTGAAGGTATCTTTTCTCGTTTTGAAAATTCCATGTTCTAATGCTGGGGTAGGGAGATGAAAACAATCTTTATTGAAGCATAAATGGAAATTCTAGAATTGTACTGAGGCATCCTGAGATAAATTCCAGTCTGGGAAGTAATCTAAAAGTTAGGCTCCTAAGAAAGGT